CTGTTATCACGTTATATTCCCTTCCCTGCATACTTACTATGTAGCCCTAACTACTTACCTCAAAACACTTGCCACATGCTATCTTCTGCCTACCCATAATGTTTCAAATATTCAATCCAAAGAAATAAAGAAAATTGCCATGAAATCTTTACTAATAGTTGGTGGCCACCTATTTTGGACAACAAGAAGTGTAGTCTTTCGACTATAACAATGAGAAGAGTATTACGTTTTACAAAATTATAAAATTAAGCTATTTATACCATTGGCATGTATTGTTTTAATAATATTTCCAAAATATTAAGTTTTTTATAAGCTGAGCCAAAAAAAGATCCTACTGGAACCACTCAAGTTGGTGCTAATGGTTACTACATCGTCTGGCAGTTGAAGACGTGACTAACCACTGCCAAGCCCACTGGAATCAAAGGCACATGAAGAGAGGGCTCAGGATAACATTGTCTAAGATCAGAACAATCAGAAGAGAGGCACCCTACTGGACTTCCTCCCTACCTATCAGGTCCTTATTTTACTGTGCCCTTATCATACAAGACTAAAACCAACATTGTCATCAGACAAGGATAGACACTTCATTGTTTACTCCAAGAAGTAGCTTATCCAAATGGTCCCTCCAGGAAGAATGGAGAGACTGAAAAACAAAAATAACAATCTCTTAGCATACCATGTAAACAAGACTTCCTCATCTCTAGACAGATGTTCTCCTCACACGTCTAATTGGCCACAACAATATGGTACTGATATATCCCTTGTTTCCTTTAACACAACATCCTTAAATTCCTTCCTTCCTCCATTTATTTATTTATTTATTTAAGATAGGGTCTTGCTCTGTTGTCTGGGCTAGAGTGTAGGGGGATCATCATAACTCACTGCAACCTCAAACTCCTGGGCTCAAGCCATCCTCTTGCCTCAGCCTCCCAAGTAGCTTGGACTACACGCACATGACCCATGCCTGGATAATTTTTTTTTTATGTATATTTTTAAGAGACAGGGTCTTGCTATGTTGCCTAGGCTGGTCTCAAACTCCCAGCCTCAAGCGATTCTCCAGCCTCGGCCTCCCAAAAAGCTAGGATTACAGAAATGAGCCACCACTCCTGCTTCTTCCTTCATTTAATATTTAGATTGTCCCTGTTATGTGTCAAATAATGTGCTAGATGAAGAATTAAGACGCTATGTCCCTATCATGAAGTAGGTCATACTCTAGTTGGAAGAGACAGAAGTAATCCTTTACAGTAAAATGAGGTTTGTGACATGGTAAGAGTTGTGCTCTGGGGGGCAAACCCGTTCAGACAAATCAGACTATAAGGGCTTTTCATGAAGGGAAAATTTTTAAGTGGCTCATGAATAATGAGAATGAGATATTAACACATAAAAGGAAGAGAATAGCTGGCCAAAGAAATAGGATGCAAGCTTAGGTTTTCTGTAGCCCTAAAATAAATGAAGGTCTGAAATGAAAATAAATGAAGGTCTGACCTACTATTATAGGTCAAGTGCCAAGAAAACAGATTCTGAGACAAGGATTCCTATGCAAGGAATTTATTGGAAAGCACTACGGGATCAACATTTGTAGGAAGAAAAGGCAGGAGGATTGAACAGAGGGAAAATTGAGCTGCAGTGCAGTCACAAAATAGCCTTAGCCAATCACTGGGAGCCTGTGAAGCTGAGAAGATCCTTCAGAAGTTAGGTAAGGGGTCTAGACATTCACACTCCCACATAGACTATTCAATGTAAACAGGCAGACTCCAGAAAGGGGTAGAAAACTTGGGTTAAATAACCCACTTCAGCCAAAGGGAATTCCAAGAATGGCCCCCAAATGTACTTACCAAACATTTATGCTTTTCAATAGAGGAGATTACTGGATCAGTTTGCCATCTTTCATCTTGAAATCCTCTACCTTTCAGAGGTTTAGTTTTGTGTCCACAACATATTCTTTGTTCAATCAGCTATTGCTATGGTTGCAGTTTGATTTCACTCAACCACGAGGTATGAGGACCGGAAACCCTTATAGAAAACACACACACACACACACACACACACACACACACACACACACACACACCTTGGTTTGGACCATTTTCCCTAAAAGGCAGTTATTGTCATGGGGTGCACATAGAATTTGAGTCATGACATACATCTTCTTTAAGAAGGAAAACAACTGCCTAATCTGCTGCTGTGAAAAGGCAGTGATAGAAAAATACTTAACCCTCATCAACTGTCTCCTATCTAGGGTGCTTACTTTTCTCCAGGTGTTGTAGGTAATCGAGGTCATTAACCTCTAGGAAACTATGCCTTCATCCGTTAAAAGTTTACTAAGGCTATCAGGAAGTAGGGGTGTGGCTTATTACATGGAGTCACAAGACCAGCAGCATCAGCATCATCAGGAAATTGTTAGAAATCCAAATACTCAGCATCTCCCAGATCTACTGGATCAGAAAAACTGGGAGTGGGGTCATGCACTCTGTGTGTTGACAAACCCTCCAGGTGATTCTGATGCAGGTTGGAGGTGGGGTTTAGTTTACAGCAGGTGATAAGCATCCTAAGACAAATCTCTACAAGGGGCCATTCTTGTTTCTTTTCTAAATTTTAAAAATATAATAATTTCATTTTTTCCTGGTTCTAAAATGAATTCATATTCACGGGAGAAATGTTTAATCCAAAACATGTAAGAGAATGGAAATTCTATCTCCCAGGTAATACTACTATGAACATTTTAGTTCATTTCTCTGCAGACATTTTTCATGAATATTCTGTTCACAGAAAATATGATGTTATTCTTGTTATTTTTAACCTGCTTTTTGACTTACTAATCCATTCAGCTCAATACATGTAATGAGAATATGACCTAGCCTGCGAGTACAATGAACTTACCTGTACTCTGAGCCCACCCATGCTCTACTAGACAGGAGGCCAGTCTTTTAAAGTATTTTTCCTCCCCAATATCTCCAAGTATAGAACTCTGTTTCTAAAGTATTTAAGGGCACATATGTTTAAAAGCAAGCAATTTTTATTTCGTGGTAGGCATTGAGATACAGACAGGATGTCAACTTAATGAAGCTAAATATTTTAGAAAACATTAGCATGTAAAAAATTGGTTTAAGCTTCTAAATATGAGTACTATCTGCCAAATGTTTCCACTTGACAGCTCCTCCATTCTGTTTTCATCATTTCTCAGGAAAGAAATGTCTAGTAGGGGGAAATGTCCCTTGTTTAATTCAAGACTGTAGAGACTGTTGGGAAATGGAATAAAGAAAGCTAGGAGTGAATTATCATCATTACTGTTATTATTTTGCAGTGATATTGCACAATGTTGTTCAGGTTTGTTGTGTCAAGACCACATGCAGGCTTCTGAGTCAGGCTGCCTTGGGATGGAATCTTTGCCCTAGCATTTGCTAGCTCTGTGGCTTGCTGTGTTACTTCGAGCATATTACTTAACCTTTACAGTCTTGTTCTCTCTTGAGAAAAAAAGGATAATAGCAGAAAGTACCTTGCAAGTTTTATTTGAGATTAAATAATATGTTAAATGAAGAAATTGGTTCTGAATACTTCTTAGTTTAAAGAAGAACAACAAAAAATTCTACATACCACGAGAAGCAAAGTAACCAGTATTTGCAGCTAAGTGAGGTATTTCTCCTCCTTCCACTCCGCTACCTCTGTGTCAACTCGGAGGTAAACAGGTCAACCCCTGGGCCGCAATGTGAAGTCAGCAATGACATGCTCCTGACTGCCAGCCTCTGTGCCCCACTTTCACTACTGCAGGTGTAAGTCATTTTACACATGTGCAAGTATTTTTCTAGGATAAATTTCTAGGCTTAGAATTGATGGATCAAGATTATATGATTCTGTAATTTTAATAGATATTACCAAATTGCCTCCATAATGATTGTACCAATTTCCAGTGCTTTGGAAAATTACAAGTGCACCCTCAATGTCTTCACAAGATTGGGTTCTCTTAAATCAAACTTTGGGCTTTTATCTGTCTCTTAGTTATAAGTGGCACCTTTTTTTAGATGCACCTTAATGCATGCTTTATTAATTTTCTATTCAATACATTTAAGGTGTAATGATGTTTTGACATAAATATACATAGTGAGATGATTATCATAGGTAAGCAATTTAATGTATCCATCACCTCACATGGTTACCTTTTTCTCTGGTAAGAGCCACAAAATCTATCCTCAGAAAATTTCCATTTTACAAGACAATCTTATAGTCACCATGATGTACTTTTTAGAAAAAAATTTCAATAGATTTAGGGGGTATAAGTTGAATTCTGTTACCAGTATGTACTGTACAGTGGCGAAGTCTGGGCTTTTAGTGTACCCATCACCTGAATAGTACACATTGTACCCAACATCACCCCCTCCCATCCTCCATCCTCTTGAGTCTCCAATGTCCATTAGACCACTGTGTGTTTCCTTGTGTAGACAAATGGCATGTTATTTAGTTTGTGTTTTTATTATTATGAACGAGGTTGAACCTCTTTTCATGTATTTTTTTCCTCCAAAAACTGTTTGTTCATGTCCTTTGGTCGTATTTCTAGTTTGCCTCTTGTAACTTAAATATTCACTATGTAATGATATTTTCAAATCTTGCAAAGCAAATTATTCCTAATATTTCTCATTGTCTCTACCAATTTCTGGCAAACAGAATCATTGGAATGGAGTTTTATGTTAAGGGAAGTATTATTACATTGCAGACATATCTCATTTATATCTACCCAGCAAAACTTTGTTAAAATATACCCATTTGAAGAATCAATTATAAAATATTTAGTGAATCTATTTCAACTTATAAACAATTAAAAATGGATAGAACATATAAAGCAATATCAGAAAATAAAACAATCTGTGGTCAATATGCACAATCTTAAAACACAGATTATATATATATATATACACACACACACACTAAATCGAAACGATACTAACCATTTTACAACAATCAGAAATAATAGTGTCTGGAGAAGTCCTCTAGCCCTTCCACCTACCCTAGCTGCTTTTAAAGTCTGTAATGGTTTCTTGCTCCATGTCATTCAAGGTTTCATTTCTTGCTTGCTCAGCTTCCCTGTGAGTCTGAACACAAAGGACAGACACTGACTGATTTCTACTTGGACAATGGTCCAGGCACAGCTGCTGTATTCCTGGTTTTTCAGATAATCATTGGATTCTGTGCATTTTAACTTGTAACCTAAGGTTCTCACTACCCAAGGTACCATTTTTCTGCTCTGCTTCCAGTCCTATGAGTACTTCTAGGTATTCCAGCTGTTGATGAAGTTCAATGAGGAATTTCTTCATGTGGTTTTCTTCCCAACCATCCAGAGAAATATTTACCCGGAAGAGGTTGAAGATCTGCTGAAATACCTCATGGAGAAGGGCCAGTGCATGTCCTTTTTGGTACTGCTGAGGCCTCACGGACATCTGCAGAAGCAGGAAGTTTTTTCTGCATGGTAAACACTGTTGAATTGATGAGGTTTGCAGTTTATTCAAGAATTTTAAACTCTCTTTGTTCACTTGTCTTTGCTGGAAGAGAATCAGTTTCAATTCAAGGGAGAAGACTGCAGAAGAGGCCAGTCCCATCAACACAATTTCAAAGAAGTGCTTGTTAATCATGGTGAAGGTCAAATGTGCTACTCTGTGCAGACTTAGTAAAACTCCAACTCTAGTGAATGTTTGCCTTTCATGCATCTCAGATTATTCTGGATGGTGTTCTCTTTTGTTGGTTTTGTTTTCTAGTGTTGTCATTTCTCCAAGTTTACACATTAGGTTTTCAGGTTCCCTTTTCTTGGTGTTCATGGGACATTTCCTCCACTTTCCCTATTGTGTTGGCTATTTGAGGAAGTAACCAAAAAAACTTGTTTCATTGTATGCTTTCCTTGAGGCAATTACAGACTAGTCATCCAATATGATCTTTTGTTACCTTCTTTATTTACTCCAAAGTTTCACTCAACACAATGTGCTTTCCAAATATTTAGTCAAGCTTATTAAAGTTCTTTTATTGAGATTAAGCTTTTTTAAGTAGTTTTTCATAGAGTAAAATTTACCAGTGGCTTAGCAGCACCTGTAAGTAACTCAGAGGCAAAAACTGAAATACATACAGGCTACTAAATTTAAAACCTCAGGTAGAACTGTAAATTTTCACAAATGCTTGAGCAGATTAACCTTAAAATATGTATCAGCAATCTTAAATTATTTTATCCAATCAATTTAATAGCTAAAATTCTAGCCTATGGAAACGATGTGAAAAATTAACATATTTAGCCAAAAAAATGCTGTAATATTATTGCAATGGCAGAATATTAGAAACAACCTACAGTTCCAACAACAGAGGATTACTTCTTAATACATTTATGTTGGTAGATCCATATGATTAAATGATACATAACCATTATAAATGATAAAATTATATATGAGAAGAGATTGGGGGTGTTTGGTTAGTTTATAGTCCCTAGGGTAGCAATAACTGTGGTAAACTAATGTGAACATCTCTATATCAGTAATGCCTCTTGAATTACAAATACGCAGTTCCATACTCTAAATTCCTCTTGAATAAACCCCCAATCTACCTTTCCAATCTTATCTCCCACTGTTGCTCTAAATATAGTGCTAGACAACCCCAACTCCAGATAAATAACTTACTATTCCCTTAATACAACTAGCCTGTGTGTGTGTTTACTGATGATACTTTCTCTCTCTGAACATCACCTGTTGCCTCCTTCACCCCAAGTATCTGTCTGTGCAAGCAAAAACGGAGAACTACTTGCCCTTTAAGGCTCAGATCTCCCCAACGGGCTATAATCACTCTCCTGGATCCCCACAGCACTTTGTACCTCCTTTAACACCTTTGGCTATTTATTTACCTGTCTTACAACCTACCAAGATTAAAATCTTTTTTTTTTTTGAGACAGAGTCTCACTGTGTTGCCTGGGCTAGAGTGCCGTGGCGTCATCCTAGCTCACAGCAACCTCAAACTCCTGGGCTCAAGTGATCCTTCTGCCTCAGCCTCCCGAGTAGCTGGGACTACAGGCACATGCCACCATGCCTGGCTAATTTTTTCTATATATTTTTAGTTGTCCAGTTAATTTCTTTCTATTTTTAGTAGAGACGGGGTCTCACTCTTGCTCAGGCTGGTCTTGAGCTCCTGACCTTGAGCGATCCTCCCGCCTTGGCCTCCCAGAGTGCTAGGATTACACCACGCCCAGCCTCCTTCCTTCTTTTGGATTAAATTTTTCTTTTTGTTTTTATTGTTCCACTTTATCTCCATGATTAGTTTATTAGCTACATGACTTTTCTTTATATCTTGTTATTATAGTAGTTTCTTTAGGGTTTAAAATATACATCTTTATTTAACATATTACAGTTTACCTTCAAATATTATTTGCCACTTAAAATATAACGTAAAGATGTTATACTATACTTTGTGTAATGGTTTTCATACATTTTTTAAACCCCATGTACATCATTATTATATTTTAATCATAAATAGACAATTATGTTTTAGAGTTTTTTAAAACGAGAAAATAGTTCTTTTATATTTACTCACATATTTTTCATTTTACAATATTTACCATTATCACACATTTACTCATATAGTTACCATTTCTGGTGCTCTTCATTCATTTTTGTAGATCTAAATTTTTATCAGGTATCATTTTTCTTCTTCTTGAAAAACTTCCTTTCATATTTCTTGTATCACAGGTCCCCCGGGAATGAACTCTCTTGGCTTAGCTTTTGTCTGCCTGAAAAATTATTTTGCCTTCTTTTTTGAAATATATTTTTGCTTCACATACAATTCTAATTTATATAATTTTTTCTTTCACTACTATAAAGATGTTGCTCCACTGCCGTCTGGCTTTCATGATTTCTAAAGAGAAGGCTGCTGTTGTTCTTAATTTCATTCCTTTGTGCATAATGTGCCTTCTTTTTCTCTGACTGCTTTTAAGATTTTCTATGATTATTTTTCAGCTATTTGATGATAACATGCTTCGATGTGATTTTCTTCTTGTCTCTTTTACTAGGAGTTTCTTGAGCTCCATGAATCTGTGGTTTTATCATTTTTATCAAATTTGGAAAAGTTTCAGACATTATTTTATTTTTTCCAACATTCTTCTATCTCCATCTCCTCCACCCCAGTCTCTTCTGAGAGTACAACTATAGATCTGTTAGACTGTTCAATATCATCACATAGTTCCATGTAGCTTTGCTCATCTATTTTTTAGTCTTTTTCTCTGTTTTACTTTTGATAGTTTCTATGTCTGTCTTCTAGTTTGTTGATAATTTTCTCTTATCTACTGTTAATCCCATTCAGTATATTTATCACTTCAGATATTATATTTTCATCTCTAGGAGTTGAACTTGGGTTTTTTTATATCATTATTTCTTTCCTCATCACATTCTACTTTTCCTCTACATGCTTGAGCATATGAGGTACATTTATAATAGATGTTTTAACCTCCCTGTCTGGTAATTCCTTCATTTGTGTCATCTCTGTGTCTGGTCTTGTCAATTATTTTTTCTACTGTTTATGGGTCCTATTTTTCTAAGTTTTTTGCATACCTGGTAACTTTTGCTTGGATTCTGAGCATTGTCAATTTTACTTTACTGGGTGCTGGATTTGTAAAGTTCTTTATTCTTAACTATAGTTGGACTCTGTTTTAGGACAAAGTTAAGTTACTTGGAATCTGTTTGATTCCTTTGATACTTGCTTTTAAGCATTGTTACCATAGGTGAAGCAGACTTTATCATCTAGGGAAATGTCATCTCACATCAAAGATATATCCTTGCGAGGATTCTACTTAATGCTCCCTATATTAGGAAGTCTTTGCACTCTGGCTGGTGGCAAAATGAAATATTTCAAGCCCTATGTTCACCCTAGGAATAGTCTGCCTGCTCCTTCCTGGGAGTTCATTTTCCAGTCTTGGGTAATTCTTATACATACATACACAGATCACAAATTAGCTAACGACTCCTGAAGAATCTCTGTACATCTCTTTTTTTCTCTCTCTATGCAGCAATCTCTTCTCCAATATTTTACCTCCTCCTTGAACTCCAAACTCTGACTCATCAACTTGGTGAGTACACTGGTCTGTTTGGGTTTCCTCCTCGTCGTGTTGCAGCCTACAGCTTTTCTTCACAGAGTAGGTGGGAGCAATTGTAGGACTCACTGTATTTCTTTCCATTCTTTTCAGGATCATTATCTTATGCTGTTTGTTATCCAGTGTCTGAAAACTATTTTTTTCATATATTTTATTCTATTTCCTAGTTATTTAAAGGGAGAGGATAAATCCAGTCAGCCCTCATGACTGGAAGTGGAAGTTCTCTCAACATTAATGATCCAAAGTAGGAGCAGGCAAACTAAGCCTATGGGCCAAATCTGGCCCACTACCTGTATTTGTAAAGTGTTACTGGAACACAATGATGCTCATTTTTTTATGTATTGTATGGCACTTTCATGCTACAATAGTAGAGTTGAATAGTTGTGACAGAAACCATATGGCCTGCAAAACCTAACATATATACTATCTGGTCCTTTTCAGAAAACAGTTAGCAGAACCCTGATATAAAAGATTAAAAATCAAATATAATTGTATTCAAAGTCTAGAAATTTTGAATATAATTTTATAAAAAATGTAATCTAAAGTAAATGTTAAAGATGTTAAATATTGTATTTTTCAGAAAACATGAAATATTCAATATTATCTACAAAAATTAAAAGGTAAAACGCATAGTATAATTAATATCAAATTTTAATCAAAATTATTTAAATAAGGCTTATACTTAGCATTCTAATTTGGAACTTTTGTTTATTATTATGCACTAAAGTTCTTTATTAAAAGTAAAATTATGTGTAATTCTACCTTTCAAGGTTTATCTGGATGACAATGTAAAATTTTATCACAATTCTAACATGTTACATCTAGACCAACATAACATCAGATTTAAAATAAATTGTTTAATATTTTCCATTCGCCATGTGCAACTATTGCAAACAGCCGTCCTAATTTATGGGTACCTCCCGGATCACTAATTGTTACATAAAGACAAACGAGGGAATAGACACTTGGTGCTATTGAGAAATGATACTTCATTATGAGAGAATCTATTGCATTCATGCTGTCTCTGAGGAAGGATTTAAAAGTCAATTAATGTGTCTTTTCTCTTCCCGCTGCAGCTCAAATCCCTCATATTTCAAGGCAATGTCTCCTTCACCTGACCAGGAACAGTCACTTTTTGTTTTGGGGACTTAAAGGAAGAGATATGAAGAAGTGTTTCCCTGGAGCCTGAATGGAATTACTAACGAGTGTGGATATTTAGTTACAAGATTCTTTGTGAGCACTGAGTACCACATCCTAAGTGACATGGGTACTAGGTGTCCTTTCAAAAAATTGTGTGTGTGTATGTGTATGTACTTGTATGTGTGCATGCACACATGTGTTTGCAAATAGAGTCATGTCTGATATTCAGGGTCCTCGAAAGGGCAAGACCTAGAGCATGGGCCACTCTCATCCAAATCTAAGGGTGGTATTAAGGGAATCCACAGCATGCTTCTATCACTTTACAGAAAAACAACAGAAAAGTGTCATGATGATGAAAAAAAAGGGCTAAGCCTTAAG